ATCGCTGTCTCCGGTTTTGACACATTGACAAGTAGGTGTGAAAGATCCAAAGCCACAGGCTTCCCCGAGCACAGGAACAGCTCACTGTTGAGGCAATCCCCACCTATGGAATCACAGCTTTTGTCTTAAAACCTTCAGCGCAGAGTAGCGCTGACCTTTGCTTACCGCAGCTCTTTACCGCATCTTACCCAACACCTGGAGCAAATAAAGGTCAGCACCTCACCCACGGACCACAAGCAACTTGCTGGCACCTCAATGCAAACTTCCCAAGCAGCTCTTGCTTCTCCTTGTACCGTTTTGTTTGTAAAGTGTTGATTAAAGGTAAAAATTAACAGTATAGGAGGAATTTGGTGTGCCTAGGGCAGAGTTGCAGCTCTCCGATGCTCTCCATGTGCAGGTCAGTGAGTGGTTTCTGCTGCTCCCTTTCAGCTCCCAGTCCTGAGCTCCCTTCTCGCAGGAGGAAAACCAGAAAGGTGGGAGTGGTGAGAGCATCCTATTTTAGCACTGGGGCTCCACCAATCTTTCCATTTCACCTCCCTGTCCGTTACACTTACAGCACGGCTCTGACATCTCTCCAAGTGCTTTACAATGGCAGAAAAATCCCTTGCGTGTTACAGATGGAAAGTTTGAGACATGGATTTTGCTTCGGCAAGCCTGGGGTATCTTGTGGCCCACTGCACATCAGTCAAAGAAGTCTTGCAGTACGGATTTTAAACAGGATCTGTGATCTTTCTGTGCCCCAGTCAAGTTTATTTAAACTGAAAAGGATCATGGAAGCAGTTTCATGGAGCTAGGACAAAAGATGTGATGTGAGGACAGGTTGAGTTGGGAACCTCCCATGCAAACTAAACCTGGCCCCATGCACCTTAAGACACAACCCCTTATTCAGGGTAATAAATTCTCAATCTGCTGAAACCAGCGTTTGTTGATCTGTCTCCAGCTCCAAATTACCTGAAATTCTTGAGTTACCTACATTACTTTATTACACAAGGCTTATAAAGCCTACAGCATAAAAAAAACCCCAAAAAAATTACCAGAGGAAGCCAAATGAAAGGTTGGGTCCAATACATTTTATGACAAAGTTCTCCCTGAAATTAAGGGGGGATGGAATTTCATCTGTGCACTTCCAGATGACCAGAGGGAAGCATTTACCTTTGTGAAATGGTGCTGAGAGTCTTGCATGGTGCCTATTTCTGATTCTCACTGCAAGGGCATGCTACCCGGACCACATTTGCAAGGCTATGGAGACAAAATTAAAGTAGCCAGAAGGAACAGATCTCTGTGTTTCTACACCTCACAGGATATGCATATTTTAAATGGAAAGGCAGCTTTAGCTCAGCTTTTAATATATTTCTTCTTATGAAGCAGTACCTTGTGCTATAGCAAATATTCTTTCAGCTCAAGTTGCTAAGAGCCTTAAATTCCGTTAAAAAAAAAAAAGAAAAAAACCTCTGTAAAAATTTTGTTTCATTGTCAAAAACTGCTTTGGTTATAGTTATTTTCAGCCTTGGAAATTCCAAGACAAACAATCTGTCATTGAATTTCACTCATGTCAAATGCTATACTGCTAAACTTGGTGGAGAAAAATTTTAAATTAACAACCTTTGGTTTTTTTTCTTAATTATTTCTCATCTATATAAACAGCGCTGGGGGAAAAAATCAGCTGCTTTTAAGGGTTTGTAAAATGATTGATTCCTAGATTTCTAATGCAGTAACAACTCTGCCCAATGCTAATGTTAAAGAGATTTTATTGATAGAATAATGAAGCAACTTTGACTGTAAGCACTGGAAAATGCTGCTGTGAGCCTTTCTCAATTTCAGACCACAGAGATGAGAGAATAAACCGAGTTCCAGTGCCTGGCTACCCCAGAACCACAGGTCCTGCCTGGGACTGTGTGTGCATCTGGAACTACACCTTGCCTAGACAAAGGGACAGTGACAGCTTTTTCTTTTGTTCCAACAAGAATTCTTTAAAATAACAACTTGTATTTGCAGGGAAGTAGAAGAAGCCCCCCTCCTCCTTAGAGGTATTTAAAGCTGACTTAACATAACACTGGCAGGGATTCTGTAAACTGCATTATCCTAATGCTTCACACACTTTAATTCTCAACATGTAGAACTCCATTACTTCCAAAGAGATAACTAACAGAGCATTCAGCAATTATGTGACAATTGGAAAAGCTTACTGAAAATTAATAGTAAAGCAAGAGCACCTATTAATGATAACACAACACAGCAATTTTTCATCTTCTTATCAATAACAGCCCAGACATGCACTGACTGTGCATTGCAAATTGTTGTTTTGCTCCATATTGTCAACAGAAGGTAAACCTGGCTTTAAAAATTAATGAATTTATACAGGAGCAAGTTAGCATCTTAACCTGACTCAACAGCAGCTTTCCTTACTGCTTAATATACCCAAATATGCAGAATATTTTAGGAAATTTATATGTGCAATTGCTGCATGCATACTGGTACCCCATATAATAATCAAATAATAATCTAGAAACATGCTAAAAAATATATCTATGTTGTCTTAAAAGTATAAAACATGAACTTCAGACTGAGCAATCTAGATACAGCATACAAAGAATCACCTAACACTGCTTTTAGAAATTCAGTGAGACACTGCCATAATCTGCTCAGATTTGTGAAGTTTCACACGGATTTCATCCTAATTTATGCATCTTTAACAAGTAGGTAAGTAGACAGCACACTTTGATATCTGAAAGGACAGACAGCATTTGAAGTTCAATCTATTAAAATAAAAAGCACTTCTCCCTTCACTGAAAGGTAGTGCCAAAGTATTTCCCATTCTAAGAACTCTGATTTTATAAAAAATTAAGGCTGCCCCAGCAGGAAGGGTTTGATGGTGGCATTTCTGGCTTACTGAAATGCTGCTCTATTGCATCACAGAAACCCAGGATTTTTTTTTTTCTTGGCTGAAATGCTGAGCCTTCACTGTAGTATTAATATTATCCACAGTGATTTTTGGTTAAAAAAGGAAAGAAAAAGTCAAGAATCAGTAATACCAATGCCTCCCTTCTAAACCTGCTCATCAGATTCCAGGAAGCCACCAGTCCCTCCAAATTCTGCCCAGAGAACAAAGAATAGCACAGACTTGCATTCAATGCATTACCACCAACATAAAATATTTCTTAATTTAAAATAAGCTGTAACTTAAACCAGATGTTCTGGTACGAGCATGCCAAAATACATTTACACAACTTTTTAGTAGTAGGTTAGTGTTAAAGGTACACCTAAAATGCCTCAAAAATCTCACACATTCTCATTTTGCTTTACTTTATTATTTAAACTAACTTATAAAAGGTGTAAAACTAATTGACTCCAAAACCTTGCTGTTTGTACCTAAAGAATGCAGAAAAAAATGAATCCTCCTGGGTGAGCTGAGTGCCACATCCACCTGAGAACCTGCAGTGGCTTTTTATGATTTTTGTTTGATTCAAAGCAGTAACTTTGCTTCATTTAGTCAGCCCTCACTCACAGCAAGCAACTTCCCAACATCACCTATAAAACATTGCGCAACAAACCCCATCCCTGACGGTGCAAGTTCCAATTGATCCCTTTGGTAGCTCTTAAAAAAATAAAAATAAAGGAAGAAAAAAGGACGGTGCAAGTGAGAGAGAGAGGTTGTAGGTGTGAGGAAGGAGTTTTTATTTAGTTCCCTCCTGCTCAGCAACTTTGTAATCCATTTGCTGCTCTCCTTTCCCCATCTCTCACCCCTGCGCGTTGTTTAGTTGGAAACTGGGCTGCAAGAATGTGAAGAATGTAAACAGCCTTTTATTGTCCAAAAGGATGGGAGTGTGAAAGAAATGTGCGCCTTATCGCAGGGCTGCAGCTCGCTACTTCATTGCTATGATAAAGTGCTGGAGCAAAAAACATTACACGACAAGCACAATCCAAAACCGGATTAGAATTTGACATAAGCTTCCTCAAAAACTAATCAATCACCTCACACTGTAACACTAGACTCCAGTTCTTAAGGAGGGTGTTTAATCCCTTCAAGGTTTATTACACACTCCCTATTGACTACTTCGTGACAAACTTTCTTGTCCAAGGCAAGCCGGGGAATGGAGGCATAACTTTTGCAGCGGAGGTATTTGTGAGAGTAACACCAGAACTCCCTCCAAAACAGCAAGCGCGGTTAAAACCTTTCCGAAATAAAAGTGAAGATGGCCAAGCTCTTTTACAAACACGGTTTTTCCTCACGAACAGGAGCATCAGTCCATTTGTACCATCAGCGCCCCACGGACGAGGCGCTAGGCTGGAGAAGTTGCGCTCCTCGCCCGTCTCACCGCGCACCTGGCATCGCCTCCCTCCCTTCATTCAGAGCCCCGAATCTCGCACTCTGCACCTCACCCTGCCGCCACGTCAGTCCCCGCATTCCCCCACCGCACGCACAGCAATATTCACCGCAGCACCGGCGTGTCCCACAGTTTCTGATAAAAAATTAAGGAAACACCCGGGGCGCGCTGCAGCAAGCCCGAACTAACGGGGGAGCTTCCCGAGCGCTACCTGCGCGCCCTGCTATGCCTTGCACGCGAAAAAAAAGGCGCTTGTGGCCTGCAGAAAACTTTCCGGGAGCGGGCAGTCTCGGCGGTGCTCGGCACACACAAACACCCCCATCCCTCCCATCCCTGCCCGCGGTGTTTTCCAGCTCCGCGGCGGCTCCCGGCGCATCCCGGCCCCCGGGGCCGCGCTGGGCTCGGGCTGCGAGCGCCCCGCACTCCCAAACGGGGCGAACAGAGGCAAGCCCGCTTAATTAAAATCAAATAATAAAAAATGAAAGAAAAAAAAACGAAAAAGAAAAAATGGAAAAAGAAAGAAAAAACCAAGAAAGAATATGTTAGGGGCTGCGGGAGGCAGGTTAGGGGAACCGGGCTCCAGAGGAGACCGCGCCCGCCGCGCTCCCGGAGGAAGGCACCGGTGTCCGCCAAGCCCCCCGTGAGAGTCCCGGGGCCGCGGGGATGGAGACTTACGAGCTGGAGGACGCCCTGGACCACGACGAGGGGCAGGGGCTGCAGGGGCACCATCCTGGCTGCCGGTCTAGGCGGCGACTCCCCCGGCGCGGGTCTCGCTCATCGCCGCTCCGGGAGGAGGACGGGGGGCAGGACCGAGCGCAGGGACACGCCGCCCGCCGTCCCCGCTCACGGGGCGCTGCCAGGCAGCGGCCAGATCCCGGCACTGCCGCGGCGCTCGGCTCGGCGCCGCTCGGCTCCGCGGGCGGCCATGGCGGGCGGGAGGCGGGCTGAGGCGGGCGGGAGGCGGCGGCGCTGCCCGGCTCCCCCCGCGGGGCACGGCCGGGCCCCCTCACAGCCCGCGGCCGGGCCGGGCCCCGCCGCCCTCCGCGCCGGAGGGACCCGCCTGGGCCGCGGCTGAGGGGAGCGGTGCCGGGGGCGGCGCGTCTCCGCCGGGCGCTGAGCGGACCCCGCTGCCCCGGGCGGGGCGGCCCGGCCCTCACGGCAAGTTTAAAGAGGCGGCGGCCCCTCCTCCGCCCGCGGCCGCCCTGCCGAGCCTGGGTGCGCCTGTGGGAGCCGCCCTGGGCCGCCCGGCCCCGCTGTAGGCAAGGTGAACAGACTCGACGGCCATGCCCTGGTCCCGGCTTTATAGGGCACTCCTGTCACCGCTCCTTCCTTCGGGGGTGGCTGCCCCCGGCACACACAGGCGGCTGGGCAGCCACGGGGCTTGTGGAGAAACCCGACGTGTTTGTGCTGTGAGCAGGCACGGTGGGGCGGCCTGGGGACACCGAACCTGCCCTGGGGACATCGAACCTGCCCCGGGGTCACTCAGAGTGTCCTGGGGACACCGAACCTGCCCCGGGATCACTCAGAGTGTCCTGGGGACACGAAACCTGCCCCAGGGGCACTCAACCTGTCCCGGGGACACTGGGCCCGCCCTGGGGACACCGAACCTGCCCCGGGATCACTCAGACTGCTTCGGGGACACTGAACTTGCCCCGGGGACTCTCAGAGTGTCCCAAGGACACCAAAGCTGCCCCGGGGACACCGAACCTGTCCCGGGGCCTGCCCTGGGGACACCACACCCCTGTCACCTGGGGCCGGTGCACACTCGAGCGGGCACAGGGTCATGTTTAATTTGGCTCCTTGTGCAGGGCTGCAGGGTTTGGGTAATGGTGTGCGAGCCTGTGGGGCGCCCCAAAGACCACAGGACCCATTTCCAAAGAATTCACTGGGGTCAGATCCATTAAATAACATAATTTAATGAATATTCACCAGATTCATTGTTGAGATAGCCGTGAGCAGGCTGAAGTTGTCCCGCTGTTTTTGTGACACCTGTGAAAGGTGGCAACCTCAAAAGGGAAAATTAAGCTTTGGGTGCAGGAGGCTGGGTGGAACAGTGACCCCAGCCAGGTTTGGCACAAGAACCATACACACAGCCTGGGCTGAAGCAGTGCCACCACAGCAGGTACACCTGTGCCAGGCCTGGCAGTGCCTGTGTTTGCTCATCAGTAACTCCATGATGTGATATGTGAGCTGTCTATCACCGGGCTGAAGTGCAAGTCGTGGTTTCAGTTTGCAAACCTTGCCTGCCATTTGTAGATTACTTTCTTCTTCGTTCTCAGCCTCATCTTCTTACTAGATCTGTATTCAGGTTACATTTTGACAACCCTTGTACGTTCAACTACTAAAATCCTTGTCAGTGGAAACAGCTTTGCAATCCCTCTTGTGGCACTTGAGAGCAACCATGATTTTACCAGGTGGTGATTGTGGTTTTTTGGTTACATCCCACTGGTTCCCTTCCTAGCTCTGCTGCAAGGTGCCTTAAAAAGGTGTCATGTGGATGTGATTGAGCCAAAAGTCACAATCACTCATTTGAGTTTGGACAAAATGCTTTATCTATAGCAAAAGGATCTACTTATTAAGGGAACAACTTTAAATGAGTTAATATGCAGTAGATTCAAAGACTCAGAGAAGACTGAAATAGTGATGGCCACTGAGTCAATGTACTATAATGAATTTAATAGAGTTACTTTTTGTGGAAAAAGTTCAAGAGTTTTTTTTTTTTTTCATAGAATCATAGACTCTCAGAAGACAGTGTTGGAAGGGACCTTAAAGTTCATACTGTTCCATCCCCTGCTTGCACAGGGACACTTCCCACGATCCCAGGTTGCTCCAAGCCCCATCCAACCTGGCCTTGAGCACTTCCAGGGATGGGGCAGCCACAGCTTCTCTGGGCACCCTGTGCCAGGGCCTCTCCACTCTCACAGAGAAGAATTTCTTCCTTATCTCTACTCTTAGCTCTGCTCTCTGTCAGTTTGAAGCCATTTCCTCTTGTCCCAAGTTCCTCTCCAGCTCTCTGAAGCCCCTTCAGGCCCTAGAAAGGGCTCTGAGGTGTCCCCAGAGCCGTCTCTTCTCCAGACCACGCTCAGCTTTCCCAGCCTGGCTGCAGCACAGAGCTGTTCCAGTTCTCAGAGCATCTTTGTGACCTTCTCTGGACTTGCTCCAACAGGTAGATGTCCTTTGTTCCTTGGGGCCACAGGGCTGATGTGATACTCCAGGTGAGGTGCCAGAGTGAAAGGGGGAGGATCCCCTCGCTCGACCTGCTGCCCACGCTGCTTTTGAGACAGCCCCGGACACAGGAGAATTTCTGGGCTGCCAGAGCTCATGTTGAGCTTTACATCAACCTTCTCCTTGGGGATGCCTTTCATCCTTTCTCCACCCAGCCTGCACTTATGCTTGGGATTGCCCCGACGTTATTTTAGTGCCACCATTTGACATCCTGTTAAATACAGAACGATCAGAATAAAATACGCTAGGATTTACCCGTATTAGAGTTTAAATCCCCAAAGTTTGCGCGGATGGAGAGCAGTCAGGCGCTGCTCTGCGCGCGTTCAGCAGTGACAAGTGGCACTTTGCGGTGCCCAAATCGCGGGGTTTGCGCTCAATCGCGGGGCCCGGCGGCCAATGGACACATCTCGGGCGCCCTCTGCCGCCCGCAGGCGGTACCGCGGCCCCGCTCGGGGCAATCGCAAATGTCAGAGCTGGAAAGGCTAAACTGGGATCAATCGTCTGTATTTAAAAAAATAAATAGAAAAAAATAAATCTGTGCTCTATAAACTCACAGAAAGCTGAATTTTGTGTAATTGGCTTTTAATGGAATAATAACGTTGGAGCTGAAGTACTGCAGTTCTATCCTATTAAATACAAACAGAGTTGATTCAAATGACATTAACTTTGTCACACAAGCTGCCAGAGGCCGGCCTGAAATCATGCTTTTTCCAGATTAAGTAGCAGTAAATAATTGTAAAGTGCTTTGAAGATGAGAAGCATCATGCACAGTAAGTGCTAAGTATTATTGTTATCTGCATTATTTGCCAGAAAAGTCACAGTAGTGCTGGCTAAGAAGAGAATGGAAGGCCTGTGCTTTGCATTTCATGTCTTTGCCGTGTTAGCATGATCTTTAAACCTCATTTAAATGGGGATGGGCAAATTTTCTGGTCTAATTTTAAGGCACAATGGCTGATAGTTGGTTCATCTCAGGAAATAATGGTTGTATACTGCAGGAAGTAATCCTGATCTCTCTATAAATGGATTAATGAGCCAGCTGTGGAAAAAAAAAACCTAAAAGCTCAAGATCCTGCTAAACCATCTTGGCTGCTTCAAAAGAGTGAAAAATACCTGTTTAATACATGATCTCTAATGCTTGTGCACAAAGTCAGTAATAACTTTTATTCCTTTATCAAGTAATTTGTCCACACAAACCAGTTTGTCGCCTGTAGTTAGCATCAAACCCATCCATTTTCAGCCTCAATTGAAGTCTCAAATCTCATTCCTCTCAGTTAATTTAAAGCACTGACATCAACTTTTACTTCTCTTAGTCCTAAGACTCCTCACTCTGTTTCCAGCTGCTGGAAAGAGCTGCCTGTGTCATTCAGTCCATCTCCCTTAACTGAAGTGTGGGGTTTTTGGAAAGTCTTCAAGATCCTCCTTTAAATTAGCTAGTTAGGAGTAGGGGAATTTCATGCTCCAAAAATTCACACCTCTGGCATTTGAAAACCTCTTCCTAACCTCTAATTTTCAAATTTGCTGCATTTGATAGCTGGATCCTTTTACAGTCAACTGCTTTATGTTAATGAGCTCTTCTTCCTAATTATAATGTGTTGCCCAAAAAATTTAAAAGGCACCGATTCCCTCTCAAATTTTATTAATCATGTGAGCCCAGCAGTCTCTCTCAGGCAATAGCACTCCATTTATAAGTCTAGTAAAATTTTTCTTTTATCTGTTCCCATTGGAATAAATATGGTTTTTTTATGTGGGTGACCATTCAAATTTAGATGCTAGAGTCTTGTGGAATGTCATTAATGCCTAATTTATCTCTGTTGAAAAGAGAATATTTGATACACCATGTGACTGCATTTTCCTTGTCTAGAGTGCATGCCCATTATATTTTCTCTGGATTCTCCAGTTGTTCCAATGTGTTATCCAGATCCTTCCTTCCCACTACTGAGTGCCTGCTGCCTCTGTGTGAGCAGCCCATTTCAATAGCTATTCCTACCTTGCTGGAATTGCTAATTAATTTATTGCCCAGCTAATTAATTTATTGAATACCAGTGGCCCTAAAGATCAATCTTTAAAGAACCTTATTAGTTATTTCCTCCCAGACCTTGAACACAGTCTGTTAAACCATACCTTACCCTCTTCACAACTTTTTCCTAATCATCCTCTCCAGCCTATTTGTTTTTCTCCATGACATCCAATCATATTTTGGTTGAAGGGCTGATAAATGACTCTATTTCTTTTGTCTATAAAATTAGTAACCTAATCAAAGGCAGGTAATGAAATATTTGTCATCCTAGAATAATCTACCTTTCTGAAAAAAAAAAAAAACAAACCAAAAACTTAAAACAAACCAAAACCCAGATGAATTTATTCCATATTCTATTTCTCTGTGTTTCCAAGCATTTTTTCTCCTCCTTCAGGTGGCTTTCAACAGCTTTGCATATTTCTAAAAACTCATATTTGCTGATACTGTGTTTCTCTTCATATTCTTAGGAGTTAGATTTGCATTTGCTGTTCCCCATTTATACCACTGCTGATTTCACAGCTTTATTACTGATCTCCTCCCTCTAACTTGCAGTTCCCCACGTTGGTTATTTCAG